GTTGCTTGCTAGCTGGGCTTAGTGGCGGCGAATATCACTGCTGATGTGAGAAAGCGAGCGCAGCTTCTACACTTTATTGGTCCGAGTAATTTTAACACATTCGAGATATTACCCGACAAAGGAACAACGTATGCCCAGGCGAAAGACGCGTTACGTAACTATTTTTTGCCATCATTGAACACTGAATTTGAAAAGTCAAAATTCCGTAAGCTGACACAGAACAGAGGTGAGAACATTGATAGTTATCATGTCAGGCTTAGAGAACAGGCAGATAAATGCCAGTTTCAAAATGTTAATGACGAAATCAAGTCACATATCATTCAATCCACATTGGATTCTAAATTGAGGAAGCATGGTCTACGAGTAGAATGCACTCTCGATGAATTGATTTTATATGGCAGAACGAAGGAGCTTACCACAAAGCGCAACTAGTGAAATAGAGAAATAGAGAACAGTATGCCAAATATTAGTAGTGAAGGTAATGGATGTGAGCCTATGCCAACTAATTCAGTAAATAAGTTACGTCGACAAGAAAAGAAACCAGGTTCTGACAAGTGCAAGAAATGCGGTATGCAATTTCATCCAGCACATCAATGTTCAGCGAACAACAGGGTGTGTTACCGGTGTTCATGTGTTGGACATTATGCAAATCAGTGTTATTCCAGTACGAGTAGAGGCAGTTCTCGTGGTAGGTTATCACCATAGTTCACGCGGTGATTATCAAAGACGACGCGGCGGTTATCATCAAAGAGGAAGTGCTCGTGGAAGAGGAGTGCACCAAGCGAAATGAGACGAATTCGAGACATGTGGTAATGGTAATAGTAGTAGTAGTGATCATTCAATGTTTGTATTAACTAAATCTACTAAGCTAGATAGAAATCACTTTAAAGTCAAACTAAGTGTAAATGATGTAAACTTTGAAATGCTAATTGATACTCAGGCTGATGATGCAATCATGTCTATTGATACTTACAGCAAATATTTCAGTCACATTGATATAGACCCAAATGTAATCCCACTTAAAACGTACAGTGGTGAGAAACTTAAACTAATTGGGAAAATTAAGTGTAAGGTTGTTGACAAACAGAACACAATACATGACTTAAGTGCTAATGTAGCTGACTATAATAATAAACCTACCTTACTTGGATTGGATTGGCTCAATGTTGTAAAACTAGACTGGAAACAGATAACTGAAGATTTAGATGCCAGAAGAGTAAATAGTTTGCAAAATGACAAAGGCATAAATAAGGGTATGCATCCCCGTTACAAGCATTGCTAAAAGAGCATGCACAGTTGTTTGAGTCAGATAATAAAGGTATTGCAGGAGATAAAGTTCACATTAATATGAAGCAAGATGTACAGTACAACCCATATATTGCAAAGCTAGGTTTGTACCATATGCAATGAAAAGTAAAGTAGATGCAGAGTTAGCTAGGTTAGAAAATGACCAAATTCTAACAAAGGTAGAGAAGAGTGATTAGGCTTCACCAATAGTAGTGGTTCCTAAAACTGACGGCACGATCCGAATTTGTGGAGACTACAGTGTTACTATAAACCAACACGTAGCAGATGAGGAATGCAGCTTGCCGAGCGCGGATGATCTATTCGCAGAGCTCTCAGGAAAACGCGTATTTACAAAACTTGATTTATCACACGCATATACACAATTGAACATTGACGATGAAAGCAAACAGTATGTAACTATTAACACACACAAAGGTCTATATACGTATAACATTTACCTTATGGCATAAAACATGCAGCAAAGCTGTTCCAGGAGAAAATGGACAAAATGTTAACCGGAATTGAGTGCTGTCTGTGTAATCAAGATAATTTTTTGATCCATACTGAAACTGTAGCCGAGAACTTAAAAGTGTTAGAAATAGTGTTGAAACGCTTCAAAGATAACAATGTCAAATTGAAAACTTCAAAATGCAAGTTTTTGGCAAACGAAGTAGTGTACTTAGGATTGCAAGTCGACAAACATGGTATATCCCCAGTTGATAGCAAAATCAAACCGATTAAGGACGCTCCGCAGCCACAAACTTAGGAATGGTTCAGTTTTATTCAAAATTCTTGCAGAACTTATCCACAGTAATAAAACCATTAAATTTACTGTTGAGAGATGGAGTAGAGTGGAAGTGGACGGTTGAACAGCGAAACGCGTTTGACTGGTGCAAGAAACAGCTAACTTCAGATTTGAGCTTAACGCATTATGATGTAAAGCGACCTCTAGTATTGTCTACAGATGCCAGCTCGTATGTTATAGGAGCAGTCATTTCGCACATAATGGATGACAACACAGAGAGACCCATCCACTATGCATCGCGAACGCTAACGAACAGTGAGCAAGGTTACGCACAACTTGAAAAAGAAGCGCTGTCAATAATCTACGGCATTAAACGCTTCAATAAGTATCTCATGGGCCAGAAATTCACGATTTGCACGGACCATAAACCATTAAATAAGATACTAGGTCCGACCACCGGTGTGTGCCAGTCCTAGCGGCTAGTAGAATACAGCGGTGGGCACTATTGCTTAATGAGTACAACTATGAGATAGAGTACATAACTTCAGAGGAAAACGCAGTAGCAGACGCGTTATCGCGGTTACCGCATAAAGAAGAAACTAAAGACCTCAAACAAGTTATCTACAGCATCGAAATTGACAAAGACTTTCCAATCAAAGCAGATGAAATTGAGCAAAAAACTATTAAAGATGAAACATTAAGTAAAGTACTTGGTTATGTAAAGCAAGGATGGCCTAATGAGGCAGCATGTAAACTCCTAAGTGAAAATAATAGCTTAAAACCATTTGTACAGAGAAAGCTTGAGCTAACATGTGTTGGAAATTGTCTATTGTGGGGTCAACGAGTTATAATCCCTTTTGAATTACGAGATCAAATGCTCAGTGAATTGCATTGGGAGCACCCTGGAATTTGCCAAATGAAGGCAATTGCCCGTTCATATCTGTGGTGGCCCAAGCTTGATCTTGACATTGAGAATATGGTTAAAAGTTGTGATCCATGTCAAAGCGTTAGAAGTAGTTTACCTACCACACCACTGATTCCTTGGAAATGGCCTACCAGACCATTCCAGAGAATCCACATTGATTTTTGTGAGAAAGATAAAGACAACTTCTTAGTGTTATAGATAGTCATTCGAAATGGCTTGAAGTAGTTCATATGAGGTCAACTACAAGTACTAGAACCATTGAAGAGCTTAAATTAATATTCGCACATTTCGGTTTATCAGAAGAAATAGTATGCGACAATGGTCCTCAGTTTTCAAGCGCAGAATTTAAAATGTTTTGCAAAAATAATGGAATGTTGCTAACGTTTGCGCCGGTGTATCATGCACCCACTAACGGGGCAGCTGAGAGATCTGTTAGAGTTGTGAAAGAAGCCCTAGCAAAACAAGTAGTTGATGGTCGTAAGGACAATATTAAAGTTAGGTTAGCTAATTTCCTATTCAGATATAGGATGACCCTGCACACAACCACAAATTGTACACCTGCTGAATTGTTCTTGAAGAGAAATTTGAGAACATGATTATCACTGGTAAATCCAAATTTGGCTGAAAGAATCGAACGTAAACAAAAAAATCAAAAAGTACAAAAAGACCCTAAGTCAAAATCAGAGAGAACTTTTGCAGTCTTAGATAAGGTGAGGGTTAAGAACATGAGATCGAAATGCAAAGAAGATAAGTGGCTATATGGAGAAATAACTAAAGTATTAGGTCCAAGAAGATATGAAGTTAAGATGGGACGAGTGACCAAAATTATTCACCCAAATCACTTGATGTTAGATACTACTTCAAAAAAAAAAAAAAAAATGAAGGAGGATAGGAGATGATCTAATCTAATGCAAGTAGAAAATACTAGAAACAGAAATGATTAATTTCAAGCTAAACCCAGAAGTATGTTTATGTTTAAAGAAAGTACATTATTTTAGTTTTCGGAAGTAGGCCTATTTATAACAATGTTAAAAGAAGACAGAATAATTATGAGAGTTTAAACGGAAACGGTTTAGTTATAGTGTAGTTTTTAATACTGTAGTATGTTAGTTATACTGTCTTGTAGTGTTGTTTTCAATAGTTCTAAAGAGCCATAATGTAATTACTGTATCTCACATCTTATTCAATTTTATAAAAGGGAAGTAATGTAATATATTCATATTAACTGAAAGTGTAAAACGACTGGACCGGAGGCTAATAAATATTCCTAAAATGGCTGAACACGTTTAGTACATTGTGATAATTATTCTGTGTGAATATCCTAGGAATCATCTACGGCCACTAAACACAACACTGTCTACTACTACAAAGAACGGTTCTTTCTCGTCAGCTCGTCAGTAATGATAGTTCTGCAGAAAACTGAAAAAATTTTCCTTAAAATAAAGACTACTTTTAAATAAATAAATAGATAGATAGATAGATAAATAGATGGATGGATGGATGGGTGGATTGATGGGTGGGTGATTGGGTGGGTGGGTTGTTTGGATGGATGGATGAATGGATCGATGGATGGATGGGTGGATGAATGAATGAATTAAATAATTAATAAGGATTTTAATGAAGATGTGTATATATCCTCCATATTGATTAGACATTCAAAGGTTTGGCAGACTCAACTAAACTAAAAAATCCCTTCAAATACAGAATACATTACAATTATATAGTGACTTTAATTCATTAAAAAAAAAATAATAATGATCATATGAATACACATCAAAATAATTCACAACGTAAGGTGATGTTTTGTGTATACAGGCCTAATCATGCATTACATACAAATATGTATGTAGCCGAATGCTAAGACGCCGAATGGTGTAGTTGCCAAATGCTAAAGTCGCCGCCGAATGAAAAAGTCACCGCCGCATGCCAAATGCGCCGAATATATAGTCGCCGCCAAATCAAAAAGTCGCAGCCCCCGCATGCCAAATGCGCCGAATGCAATAGGTCCCCAAATCCCATTGCCGCCGCTGAAGGCACTGTGGGCGTTTCATACCCGGCAGCATATCTCTATGCCTGCAAGTATAAGCCTAGTATTGATGTTTGTTTTCTCCTTTTTTGGGAAGGATCTCCCTTTAACTTATTTTTGTCAGGTTGCTGATGTTATTTCAGTACTTTGATATGTTGAGGTTACCATAGCATTGTAAGTAAAGATCCGTAAAGTAATACTACTATTATTTAGTGATGATTAAACTTATACTTATACTATGTATAGGCTAGGCCTAGGCCTAGTTAGGCTAGGCCTAGTTAACATGTTACAGGTTTTTCGCAATGAACGGAATGCTGAGAGCGAGGGAGTGGTCTGCTGCTAGGTGGCACACCACTCACTGCATGTTGCAGCGCAGCTGCTCGGTTACCGAGTCTCAGATCATTCGGCCGCCAGATTTTTAACAATAGAAATTATGGCGCGCCAATACAGTTCCGTTGTTAGTGTGGTTGTTGCAGGATGCGGAAGCGTAGGCAAATAATAATCTGGCCGTTTTTTTTATTTAACTTTCCGTTTGTGTAGGCATATAGGCCCTAGGCCTACATAGGCTACATATTTGTATGTAATGCATGATTAGGCCTACGTATTTTTCATTAGGTAGGCCTAGCCTATATTTATTTATTTTTGTGGTTAATAAAATATAATAACGCCTAATGATACTGTAATATTCACATTTTATACTAGGCCTACTGTATAATAAATGGTTATAGTATTTTTCTATGCTGTGGCTAGAGATATGGTACCGTATCGGAATTTCCGATTGCTAAAGGTACGGTAAATGATATTACGTCATGATTAGCCAATAGAAACGCCGATACATGCGTGACGTCATTCAGTGCACTGCTGCTGCAAGAATAGTGAGTGTGTTTGTTGGCAACAATCGAAGATAAGAAATTTTGTTCGCTTGCGGGTGTTGACAAGCCCGAGGCCCTATAGCAATTAAAAATGATAGCAGTTTTTTTCTAGATTTGGCGACATCAAGCGAGAATAAAGTATTTTAAAGGCCAAGTGCGGGTTTGAAATAATTAATGTCACTTGATTTTGGAGCACGGTATTCGAAAACGAGGCTCGTGAACTGGGTCCCAAAAACGAAGTGGTGCTACAGGATTTTGAGCCAGTGTTAAAAGATAGGGAATTTCCTAAAATGGACCGACTTCAAATGCTTGCATTCGGTAACCCCATAACAAAATCGTGTCAAACTTTAGATATTCCAACGTAAATTTGGCCGTTCTTTTCATTTTTATGGGTTTTCACTTATGAAAATGTCTCAATTATGTGTAAAATAACAGTTTGCCCCAGTTTTTGTTTCATGAATTTTGCACTAGACAGGGAGTCAGCTGATTCACTCAACCGTAACGAGATGTTAACACAGCCAACTGATGATGAGAATGGTCGTCGCGAGCAGAAAATTGAAAAATCGGGATTGGGCGAAAACATTTAATAATGATAATAATATAATAAGTCGATTGCATTTTTTAAGAATGAATCTTTCAAACAAATACGTTTGCCGGTTGGAATATGGAAGTCTTGGAAGTAGTGGTCTTAAAAATGGCGTTAAATAGGTTTGTTACCAACTTGTCTTACCTGTGTAGGCTTAGGCATAGCCTAGCATATATGCAGTACTGTATCATGTATAGAATACGGAATGCTACTCAGTACTCTACTGCCTGGCGCGATGTAGGCCTAGGCCTAGACCCCTAATTTAGTCATAAAAACTATAATTTTAAACATTAGACAAACAACACTATTTCGAATAAAGTACTGTACAGTAATTTACATGTTAATGATTGATCCATGGAACTATCTATTGGAAGGCAGTCTAGGCCTGGCTAGTTAGGCCAGGCTGGCCCTATTAAAATGCCAGTTTATTCGTCGTGGAATGTGGATGATGATACCTCAAAAACTAGCTCAAATTTGCGCAGAAAATGGCTAGGAAAATGGTGCACAGAACTTAACTTCTGTATGATACACTGGTATATTCAGATTAGTTCCAAACTAATTTTCGACAAATTCTGCTCGGAAATCGGCCTTTATTTTCCGAGGAGGATAAATTGCCTGCACACACTCGAGTCTGAGCTCCAACCACCTGGCCTAGGCGTGACCCTGCTAGTTCTTCCATGCTGGATCAATAACTAGTAGAGGGTCAAATATCCAACCATTTCGATGGTCAAAATACAGGGGAATTATTATTACTGTACTCTACATTAAAAATGATTGAGAAACAAAATAGCCTATTATACATATGTGCTATACATGTTTAAATTGTAATTGTCTTCATCTGTAACTTTTTAACTAATTTTTATTTTTATATTATTTGTAAAAAAGTTCTATATTAATGAAATAGTTAATTCTATTCAGAATAATATTTTAGGCCGTGGCTATTGTTATACAAATTTGCAATGCATTTGAATATGGGCTTTTCACAGTGATGGTTAATTAAAATATATTTTCAATAAAAATTATCATTGATGATTAGTGCCAGGACTATTTCCTTATATTATAAAGATATTGTAATATCAATTCTAATTATTTTTGAATGGTGTAAGAATAGTCACTCTAAATTTTTTAACTGGTCTGTTTTAACTTTCTTATTGAACTTCTCTAATAGGAAATGTGGGATATCGATGGATTCATTTGGTAGGTGTAACAGGCTAAAGAAATTGGACAGAAGGGTCATCCCATCTTGCACTCTGTGGTCAATTAGGGACTGTGAAGACTACCCTGGGTATTTTGATGCTATAGATACAGGAATGGCTTGAACGTGAGAATATTCGGATGTCACCTAATATAAAATAATTTAAAGCTGTTTTGGACTCATTAATATTCATAAATTAACGACTAAAGCTCATTACAATATTTAATTGGTACACACCTCAACCTGACCGACATATGCGACAACCAGCCTTCTGGTGTTTGTACATGATGATACAGATACAGGAATCATTGATAAAAATGCTTGCAATATCTCATCACTCATGGTAAGAAAGGAAATTTATGTACAGTAATAATCAATAACCAAGTACTGTAAAGCACCAAAAATATCATGGATGTTGAAAATCATCATGAAAGAAGAAATTTTGGCTATGGTATACAAGGCAATCAAACATGATAAATAAATCAGTTAAACTTGCCTAAGACGACTTTGCCATAACTTCTAAGTCAATCTAATTTTACATGCCGAATTGTTGTTTTCCATTACTGTACGTGCAAGTCAATTTTGTTAAAGTCAAACAATTTCTCAATGGCATTTTGGATACGACATAGGCAAGTTCAACTATATAAATATTTCAAAATACTAAACAAAAAATGGTGTACAACAACAAAATCGAAATTTTCTTTTAAATTGCAGTACCAAATTGATCAGCGAACGTTTAAAAGCATGCAGACTTAGGCATAATCCAGCCATTACAAAATAACCAAATTCATAGACTAACTTTACTCCAGACTGTAGAAAGCCATACATTAAAATAGTTGTTCCTGTATATATTCAGCCACATTTTCATACTGTATTATAAATTTCGTGCATTATATATTTCAATATTAATCCCCACAAGTTGTTTTATAAATCTGGGT